ATAATAATAAAGTTGGAAGGGACCTTGGAGGTCATCTAGTCCAACCCCCTGCTCAGGCAGGAAACCCTATACCATTTCGGACAAATGGCTGTCCAGTCTCTTCTTAAAAACTTCCAGTGTTGGAGCATTCACCGCTTCTGGAGGCAGGTTGTTCCACTGGTTAATTGTTCTAACTGTCAGGAAGTTTCTCCTTAGTTCTCTCCTTGATTAGTTTCCATCCGTTGCTTCTTGTCCTGCCTTCAGGCGCTTTCAAAAATAACTTCACTCCCTCTTCTTTGTGGCAGCCCCAGATATAATTTGAATGGTAGTTTGTATGAAATAATAAAGTGCTGACCAGTATCCAGCTTCCCATTAAGGAATAAGTCTTAATGTATTACTATGAATTGTACCATTATGGGATAGCAGAGAACCATAGGACGTCACGTAGGCATGTTTATTCAATTTGGACAGTTTTCATAACTTTTCAAATAGTAGTACTAAACACTTTTTCTTCATGCTTAATACAGTCATCCGTCCAATTAGAGAATTTATAAAAATATTTTTCATCCAAGAATCCTGATAAAGGTAAAAATAAGTGTTTTATAGCAAACAATGGACAGACACACTAGCTAGGAGTACACCTTATAGCATCTCTTGTACCTTTAAATGTATTCTTGAACTGATATAAGAGAATACCTGTTCAGGCAGGAGACTCTCACTTAGAACCAACATATGAAGAATGGTTAATAATCCTTCCACTCCTTAGGTCATGCTGTAATGTCAACTAATAGTTATCTTTGAATACTAAGACAGTTTGCTGCTGCTTATATGGTGAATTCTAAACTGGAATGAATCATCTGAAGACAGCTACAATCATGGTTTCTTCTGGCTCTTCTATTTTTTGTATTGCCATTCTAACCTCACCTTATTTGCTGAAAAAAAGCAAAGAAAAAGAAAAAGAAAAAAGAAAAGAAAAGAAACTACTGGGCAAATGGAAAAAAGCAGAAAAGTTTGATGAGAAAGAAGTTGTGGTAGCCAAATCAACAGCAAATTTTAAAGGTACAATGAGATCTAGAGTTGTCCACCTAACTCCTGAAGAAATTAAGTTTATAGTAAATGCCATGCATTCTTGAGGAATCACACATTTTCACTTCTTCTTTTTTGTATTATGTTGCCCACTTTAGACAGGGCGTTTAGTTTTTTTTTTTTTTTAAGGTGCAGAAGCATCTTTCAAATCTACATGGCTAACTTCATAAACAAATCCCATACATTATTTGACATGCTTTACATTTACATTGATAAAATCACCTTTGTTAAAATTACAGAACTGAAACTGATTACTTTCAATGAAATAAAAGTACTTTCAGTTCTCTCATAGCAGTGCAATTTTATATGTTTGAAAATTGCAGATCTTATGATGCTATAGAACAGCAAAGAAATGAGTAACACGGTGATTGTCTGGTTTGGTTAAGTTTAAATCCATGCTAATGTAAAACTAACTCACATTCCAGGCAACCACCATTTTACCCCATATCTGCAACCCCATTATACACATTTTTTGACTCAGCTTGACTCAGGTTTTTTTGTGTGTGAATGAGATAATAACTTTAGGAAAACAAATGGGATGATCATTTTTTTAACTTACTAGATTTTCAAAATTAAAAGCAAAAAACAACACATTTGAAAGAAGTTGCTGCACCTGCAAAGACACTCTTTAAGCTTACTATGAAATACAAAAAAGTGCACTCTTCTATATCTACATATAAAACTTATTAGAAATAAAACTTGTGTAAAATGTTTGCTGTGCAAACTATAAAAAGTCAGTCAGTTCATTGTCTTTCCTAATATTTT